AGCACAATTGTTAGTTTCTCTAAAGTCATTTTTGCTTATTAGTATGGTTGAACTGGATCATCAAAGGTCAGCAGCAAAGATATTAGTTAATAAAATGGGATTAGATACATTTGTGTTATTTAACACATTTAATTATTGCAGGTTTGCGTCATATTCTGAGTTTGCATTTCACTGTTTTAATTCATTTTGATTAATACTAAATCTTTTTTTTTTTTGTGAGTGGGATGAATTAATGCACATTCACATTTAGTCTAGAACTACACCATGTTCACACAGCGCACCCAACGCCTCTGTGTGAACATGATGTTACTGTAGTACAAAGAACAGTGAAAGTGCTCTCATCTGAAGAAATTGTATTTCTCCCAATTTCTCCCAATATGGGGACCGGAGAGCTGTCAGTCAATAAATGGGAAAACAAAGTAACTGGCGTTACTTTTTTGAAAAAGTAGCTCAGATATTTTCTTGTAAATTAAAAAGTAATGCATTACTTTACTAGTTACTTGACAAAAGTAATCTGATTACGTAACTCACGTTACTTGTAATGCGTTACCCCAACACTGCACACCAGTAATGTTTTTTTCCACAGTACGTTCATAAAAATTACTTAAATGTCCTAATTGAACTATTGGCCTAATCCTGGTTTAGTCTAAGCCCTGTCTGTGAAACCGGGCCATAGTGTGTTAGCAATCGAGAAAAACTGTAATGTTGTGTATTGTCTGTCTTGTATGTGATGTAAATACAAAATCTATCATGCTGCAGAACAAATTGCCCCTAATTACAATTACAATCAAATAGTGTGTTAGCAATCGAGAAAAACTGTAAAAACAGCTGCTTTTCTAGCCTAGACTGCAGCGATATCTGTGTGATTTGCGTCCAGGTGCCGAGCTTCAAGAACGCGACGCTGCCGGCGAGCGAGCAGGTGACGGCGCAGGAGATCGAGCGCTACTTCAGACAGGAGCTGATCTACAAGCGTAACGAGCGCATGGGCCGCCGCGTCAGAGCGCTGCTGGAGGAGCAGCCCGACAAGAGCTTCTTCTTCGCTTTCGGAGCAGGTCAGTCTCCTCAGGACGCTCCCGGATCCTTACGTCCATCCTTGCATCTCCGCTCTGTGATGTGGCTCGTTTTTGACCTCACTATGCAAATATCCGCCAGCGTTCGTTTGTTCGGCTGCCGGACGGTTTTTGAAGCACTGCTGGTAAAAATAATGGTGAGCTCATGTTGCAGAGATTAAACCAGATTATGCTCTTTCTAGGAACAAATCTTGACTTGAAAGCCCTGAGAAAGTTTGCAGCCATGGTCCTTTGATGAAGCGTCACAATAACCGGCTCTCTGGCGGTTCACCGTGAGGTCATGTGTAGATCAGCGTTAAATGAAACGATGTGGAAGTCTGATTAACGCTACTCAGAGTTATTTTGGTAGTGGCTGCAGCACTCGTGCAGTAATCGCAGTTCTGTTCATTTAGAGAAACTGGACTAACGGCCACAATCACACTCACAAACACACACAATCTGCTCACCGCCACATATTCTGCTTCATTTAACTCCAGATTGAAAACAGGGAGATTATAAACAGGAGGAAACTCGGCTCTGATTGACCTCTCAAACTCTCTCTCTCTCTCTCGTGTGTGTGTGTGAGTGTGTGTGTGAGTGAGTGTGTGTGTGTGTGTGTGTGTGTGTGTGTGTGTGTGTGTGTGAGTGTGTGTGTGTGCGTGCGTGCGCGTGAGAGATTGTGTGTGTGTGAGTGTGTTTGTGTGTGTGTGTGTGAGTGTTTATGTGGGTGAGTGAGTTTGTGTGTGTGTGTCTGTGTGTGTGTGTGTGTGAGTGTGTGTGTGTGTGTGTGTGTGTGTGTGTGT